TATAAAATGCCAGAAATACTGCTCTTCACAATTTCCTAAACCCAAAGTGACGTCTTCAAATGTCTTGCTTTGTCACATCAACTGTCTAAAAACAAAATATCAGATAAATATTCAGATAACTGATACTGAGAAAAAGCAAATTCTTAAGCCTAGTTTATGCTTCTGCGTCGCGTCGGTCGACGCGCACCCCTATGCCGTAGCCTGACGCGCACCTCCAAAAAATCCTAACTACGCGTCGCGTTGACGCGGACAGCAAGCGCTGTGATTGATCCGCTCAGAACGTAAGTTCCGACAGTTGCTTTTTCCGGTCTTTCTTACTCGTCGTACCACCTCCGCAAACGTCTTTTCTCTCGCCTGAGCTTCAACATTTGGAATATAAGCATTTGTTCTTCAATATTGATGAGCTCCAACTCCAAATACAGCTGCTCCACCTCGGTCGCCGTTGTTTACTGTTGTTTACTGTGATCGGAAGAAAAAGCAAGGATTCGGCTATAACCCATAAACCACACAAACACACAGCCACACCCCCCTAGCGGCATGGCGGTGAATTGCAGAGCAACGCGTTCCCTCGACGCAGAACTTCGAATGCTCAATGTCGACGTGACGCAGAAGCATAAACTAGGCTTTACACAGTGAACTGAAAAAAGTAGGGCTGCCTGCTGACTCACTTGGCAGCTACAGCATGACTGTATGTGCCATATACTACCCGCAGCACATACCTACATAAGTAGGTGAGAGATTAATAAACAGGGACGCTGAGCTGAAGTTATGAACCAATCTATGTTCATGAAATAAAATCAGGGAAAACTTTGCCGATCTTTTATGTGTGACAAGCCTGAGCTGTATGTTACTCACACACACGCCCCTATAGATAAACACTGCTGTGTCAGCACAAGGGATGTAAGAACAGCTCTGTTCAGTGAGCCAGTTTTGCACACAACTTTTCTCCAGTGCACCCAATTGTGTCAAAGGCCTCCAAGAAACTCTAGTAACATATGGGGTGAATTATTATTATTATGCTCCAACCAGACACTTTATTGTATTAACTTTTCATTATAAAAACACCATCTTGATTTAAAAATTGTGTTTCACTATGCACATGCAGTTTACAATCCCTCTTCTCCACTTCCAAACAATGAGAGCATGATGACTCAGAAACGTGCCATCCTCATTACATTGGCTTCTTTGGAAAAGACAGATGGACGCAACTTGGTGATTGCACAGTAAACATTAAAGTCAGCTGAATGAAATGTATTTTCCATACAATGTAGTGAATTAATAAATGAATGAATTATCTTTATTTACATTGTGCTTTTCACAGCAGAGCCATCTCTAAGACACATGGAAAAAGGCCATGTTGTCAAGGAAACTGGCCTCCTCACATGAGCAAAATGTTGCTGTGCCTCAGACTCACACAGTAATTGTACACTTTAAAATGTCTTACAATGCTTTTTTGGCCATTGAGCAAGCATGTAAACTAATGCTCCAAATCATGTGTAATGTTTTTTTGTTTGTTTTACAATCAGAATGTTTTCACTGGGGGGATATGCCCCCAGAATCCCCTGGTTAGCTCCTCCATATCCTCATGGAAAGCCCTGGCAAAGACTAAAGTCTGCAGCAGGGTATATGGCTAAGCCATTACATCTGACTCACAGACTGAACTATGGGCCGGGCCATTCATAGGCAGAGGAGGAAATAGCACAGTAAAAACAAAGGTTACATAATGCAGTCCAATGAAATGAGCTGTCATGCTATCTACCAGAGGATTTAGTTATTTATTAATGAATTATGTTCACATTATTTTCCTCCATTCACTGCAAATCCATGTTAATTGGGTATACAATGAGGGTGTGTATTTCCCAAAATAGGAACAAAGCATAGCATTTGTTGAAGTGAAGCATTCTCCATTGTATAACTGGTTGTTTGTGAATCACACAACAAAACTGAGTCAGATCATTATTGTGAAGCAATAAATAACCAGCCTATGTTTGGAAAACAAAAGCAATGTGAGGTTAAAAGACCTGCACAATGCAAATCAGCAAACTATAAGGCAAAGGCAGATATGGAACTCTGTGGTGTGCAAGCTTCACACAGCAGGAAGCAGAAGCAGCAGCACTGTCTGAGAAGCTGGAGGACCGAGTGACCTGATGCCAACCGCTCTAGCCGCCGCAAGAACTCAGGGTTCAGCTTATTTCACAGCACTGAATGTTACACAGGTTGAAGCCGACAGTCAAGCTTTCACACCAATGAGCTATAACCAAACAGCCACACAACAACACTTAATTATCTGAGGTTATGTCTCGTGCATAGACATTATCCCATGCTTAATAACACAAACACACACACCTTAAAGTAACAAAAATGTTGTGTCATCCGAGCCATTTGTGGAATACAAATCACGTGCATCTCGTGTCTCTCCCCATGTTTTCGCAGTCATTAGGCATTAGGATGACTGTCAGACAAGATAGTAACAATAATCAAACAAACAATACAAACAGAAATACATGTATGCCCTCATTAAATGACACACTCCTACATGCCAGTCTTTCAACTGACCACTCCTTGTCAGATGCTGAGAATCAGATAGGCGTAAATGTGGAAGAGACACACACAAAGGAGGCTGCAAGACGTGCGATTCTGTCAAACGTCTTCGACTTTTTACTGAGCTGCTTCACAACTGGGCCCCACAGCCCCATTTACAGCTGGACCCATTAAACACTACAGGGCAGCAAAAAGTCTTAACAGTACAAAAGACACTTTGTGGGGCCGGGTGGAGTCCAAACACTGGGGCAGGACTCTAGCTTCATCTGAATGGGAGCTCACTGGGAAGCAATTACAGCAGAAATTAAAATTCAGCAGAATCACGTGAGTAACACAAAGCAGGACAAGCAGCCTTTTTCACTCTTCTCTGGAAAGCATGAATTTCCTTCTTACAGCACAAGCCTGACTATTCTTTAAAGGCCACAATCCATTCATCCTTATTGTTGAATGAACTGTCTCCCCTGCTCCTCAGGGAATTATCTGCTTCAAGTGAAGAAAGTGCTTATCGCAGGTTTATATTCTGGCGTAATACAACTGGAAGAATTGAAGAGATCTGCCCTAAATGACCTCTTTAACGCCACACTGAGTGAATTCTTCTGGATCAAGACCAACAGGCTTTGCAACTGCACAGTTGAAGAGATACAAAGGTTAAACAATAAATATGCAATCTTGGTTACAAGGAAATCTGTTGATGACATGTGATAAACATACATTAATGAACAAGCTTGTCCAGTCTGAAAAGTGGAATTCCCCTGTTTTTTTCCAGCATATCTTTGCTACAACCACGTCCTGTGAAGGCATGAACCAGTCTCACAAAGCAGGATCAGTGGGTTAGCTGTATAAAGGTTAACCTCGGGCCTTCGAGTTTAAGAAAGATCTGTTGATTTTTAAATTGAGCTGTATTACTTGGTAAAAAGCTCCACAAACCAAACCTGCACAGAACATGTTTTCTTCAGGATTAGGAAACCATAAAATGTCCACCTACTCATTCATCAACTGAGGGGAAAAAACAAAGTCATCATTCTGACAGAAGATGTGGATGAAAACACCAGACTCTCTTTTAGGTGCCAACAAACATAGTGACATATTTAAAAACCATCAAATGATTTTTCATTCCATTAAATCAGAAATAGTGTAACGGTCAAAGTGTTTCCAAGTGCTTTGGCTGCAAAGCAACACTTTAAATAATTGTAGATATGGCATCTCCCTTTCCATATACACCCCAGTTCTCCTTAACATGTGGAACACTTAATATAATTCAACTCAAATTTATAGACTACAGTTATTGGCATTGGATGTATCACTTTTTATAACAACTTATTGACTCTTCGATTTTTGTCACAGCAGTGTCCTGATTTACCTACATAGATCAATATTTTCCTTCTGTATTGAATATCCTGAGCTTTATCTGATGCCTCACATGACTAACTGACTGGTGCAAACTCTAACTCTGTCACTTTTTTCTGTGTATGCATATGTGTCACCAACTTTGTGAGAACAGTTTTCCACTATCACCAATGTTTGATTTGTGAACAGAGATGAGATAAAGACTAAGATAAACTATAAACAACAGAAGCGGTTGTACAACTGAGATATTTTGGAGACCATTGCATTTTTAAAGAGATTGGTCTCAGGTATATGAAACACTATCTCGTTCTGACCCTTTGTTGAGCGCAGTCAGGTTACACAAGCTTTCAGAGAAGCAATAATAACGATGAAACCATTTCCTCATATAAAGATTATTAGCAGGTTGACCAAAATTGGGTTACGCAAACAACCAGCTGCCAGTGGTTTCAATTAATGGCATCAACTCTGTGTAAATCAGTGAACCCACCACTTCTTCATGTTGACATTTCACAGGTGAACTATATTTCTAAAGGCAAGCTTTAGCTAAAAATGGAAATCAAACATCAGCATTGTATTCACACTGAGCATAATGAAAGACTGTCACAGACACTCATTTATCCATGGAAGCTACAGAAAAAGTTAGGAACATGTGATACACAATATAAAGACGTTCAAAATTAGTCTGACTGGAAAACTTGGGAGGGACTTTCCAAATGAAAACTGGTTTCAGTATCTGTCCAACAAGCCTCACGTGTCCCACATGCAACAACATGAGCAGATCACATTTTAGAAAGAGTGGAAATCAGTACTTATTTTAACATAATAAAAAAGTCATAAACTGTGACCCTAATTTAATTCAATTAATATGCTGCTAATTATTTTAGCACAAAGCTTTGATCATTTGTGGGCATGAAGTTTCTGACCTGGATTATTTTAAATGTTATTGAAGTTACAGATTTGTTGCAAAGCGGAGAACTAACACCTCTCGTCTATGAGCAAATGTCTGCTGACTGAATACAACATAACTGGGATCAAATATATTATATAAGTAAGTGAAAATGAAAACTCAGGGTCAGACTCCACATTTCATGCAGAATATATTTATGTCTTACCTTGCAAAGCTGGAAAGGAAGGAGGGAGAGCTTGAGAAAGACTCGCTAGCCCTCTGCATCAGCGAGTTGTCCGCAACACCCTGGCCTCTGTTCCAGGCTCCACTGATGGTCGTCACTGGGAGATACAGTTTGGACACTGGCTTCTGTTCCTTCAGCTGCTGAACTTCACTGCTTCTGGGGTTGACCCCAAAGTGGTAGCTCGGTCCTCCTGAAGTGCTGACCCCACAGATGGAAATGGGGCTAGAGGTGGACAGGCCTGTGGAGGACGTGCCACTCATTTGGCAGTAACTCTGGCCGGCAGACATCTTCTCCTGTTTGATCACACCTGGAGTGCAAAGCTGAATGAGGCCAGTATCTTTTTCTTTCTTCACCAATGCAGACAAAGTGGTTGTAGAGGTTAGGGGGGAGGCTGTGGATATGCTAGGACTGGACTGATCTGGACTCATAATGCTGCCGTTGAGAGTGACAGAGACCGCACCACTGCCATTACCGCTCTCTACCACGGCTGGCTTATTGTCCCTCTCCGAGCCAACATCTCCAAGCAGAGAATCATCTGCCAGAGTGGACAGGAAAGCATCATCACCTACGTAAAAATCTGAGGGGGACCCAGTGAGCTCGAAGTCTTGGAGCAGGTCCAGAGTGTTATCACTGAACAGCTTTTGGTTCACGTCCACATCTTTCCCCATGTGATCAAAAGCATGATCGAGGTCAATGGGATCCTGGTCTCCTTTATCCATGGAGAAATCCTCTGTTTTCATGGCAAAAAAGTTGGGATCTGATCCCCCAATAAGAGAATCCATGGAGGACTGGGTAATGTCTATTATACTGGCCTGCAACTGAGGCAAATTGTTCCCCAAGGTTTGACGCCCAAATGCAGCAGACGTCTGTGTCTGGGGCAACTGCTGCTGAGACCTCGGATCTTTGGTCAGGCCCCAGGGCTGTGGGTTCTCCAACAGGGGGCCAAGGGTGGCAGTGACAGAGATGGGGGTGAGCTCCTCTGGAAGGGGGCTGTTGCTGAGGCCGTTTGGTACCTGTCCTGGCTGCATCAAAGGGCTGGATGGAAGAATGATAGAGGTGGCAGAGGTGATGGACATAGCAGTGCGGGGAGCCACCTTCAACAGACCTCCCTCCTCAGGGCTTTCAGTGTAGACAAGTTTGCTTAAATGGTCATCTCTTCTATATATTATCTTCTTCACGCCACATTTATCCATCTTTTATTTTGGTGGGGACACAGACACAAAGTATTAATAACAGGTTGGATCAGAGTGCATAGCAATCACGTTAAAACACAATAAAGATGGGTTAGCAGACGTGCTGAAGAGTTAGCATTACTATATGACAATGCAACGTAAAGCACGTTTGGGTTGTGCACATGCACTTCACTTTAAATCACTGTACAGCGTGTGGAGTTGTCAAGCATGCTCCCTTTCCCTACTGCGCGCTCATGATAGCTAACGCAGCTAACGGCAGCTAACTGCGGTAGCCACTACTAAACTGTTTGCATTAGCGCATAAACAGCCGTGTGCACCGTGCACTGAACAGAAACACATACATCACGGGTTCGAGCGCACATCACCTGCAGAGAGCCGCGATGTTTGCACGAGTCTGACATAGCACGCTAACCTTGTTTGTTGCTAACTGCTGACATGCTAGGTAGCCGTGTGGCTAACTGCTAATGTGGCGACGTGCGTGCATTAACATTTGACAGTGATGTTAGCCTGCGAGCTTAAACAGCCATTATAACTGTGTGTTTCGCGTCAAACGTGCAACAATGCATCTGCGACATTTGGCGAAATACACATGTCGAGTGAAATGTGGCTAAAAGCGGATATTTACCCTTGAAATGACTGGTTGGTGCGTGTCCACAGGTCGTTTGTCAACATTGTTTTGGTTGAGAGTGGCAGTCCACAGCACGCAACACTGACTCAATGTTTGTTAACGTGTCTCCTCCGCGCGTCGTGTCCTCCCCGCTTGACCGGACCAAACGACCTGAACCCCGCCGAGCTGCGAGCGGTGACGAGCTCTCGGTCCTCCGCTCCGACCTGGCCGCGAATTGTCACGCAAACCGCGTTAAACTGGTCGAGCTATGTTGACACGCAGCTAGCCATTAGGAAAGTAGGCGCTAACCTCCAGGAAAAACATTGCCTACAAAATGGAGAACGGAGCGAGTAAGCCCCCGTGGGTGACCTGTTTACAACACGCAGCGCCGCCTGCCGGCCGAGCCCTCCAGCCGCAGCTGGTAATCAGCCTGAGCTCAAGCGCAAACACACCGAAGTGTCGAAAAAGATCGAGAGAATTATTATTAAATAGTGATCGTTACGTCGTTTTCTGGTGCCGTACGATATTGATTTTATCAACAGATATTAAAGTAACAAGTTTGAACAGGTTGGCTCCCAACAACATGAGTCTGTCTGACTTAAAAGTCTGCACAAATATCATTCAATGTCATTGTTTACACACTTTTGGTCTTAAAAAAAATTCAAATTCTAAATCAGGCCAA